ATAAGGGTGTGTGTTTATTTAAAGAGCAGGTCATATGGGTTTTTGAAAAATATCTCTTTTGCAGTTTATAACGTAGCTATCCTTAAATGAAAACATTCTGCAAAGTTATTAATCAAAATATAAATAATAAATAAAGATATTGTCTCTCAAAAGAGAGAGTCGATTCTGAATCGCCTTAACGAGTCGTCATATTTGCAAATCTTTTGACTGTTACTGGTATACGTCACTGGGTAACACATTTGCATAATCCCCGCGAGTCTGCCCTGCCCACAAACACTTCCGCTAGTTAGTGTGTTTACATCATGTGGAGAAGACGCTGTGTTCAAGGATACCACAGAAATGCAATTCAGACCTTTTGTTGTGTGCTCAGCATTTTACGGAGGACTTCTCTAATCTTGGCTTTTATCTTCGTCGGCTTCTAATCTTCTTTATTTGGACTAACAAGCTCTCCGATCCACAACCTGTAAGTACGATTGATACGTTATGTGCACATTTTCAATTGAGTGCTCAAAATATCAAAAAGTTTTTTGCTAATATGTGATGTATACCTAGTGCAGCTTTAGGTTTCCAAGTAAAGCACGATATTACTGTCTTACTGAAATACGTTAGTTCTGATAATTCGCTGTGAACCCACTATTTCCTTGGATTGTGTCGATTAATGTAGACCAGTGTTTCTCAACCCTGGTCCTGGGCGTCCCCCAGCACTGCACATTTTGTGTGTCTCCCTAATCAAACGCACCTGATTCAACTCATTAGCTCATTAAAGGAAACTCCAGGACCTGAAATGGGTGTGTCAGATAAGGGAGACATACAAAATGTGCAGTGTTGGGGGGCGCTCAGGACCAGGGTTGAGAAACACTGATGTAGACTGACGTTGCTCTAATAATTACTTTGTTTAATAATAAATAATGTAGTGTAGCGCACAGAGACTATAATCATTGTGAAATTGCGGTTTATTTTGCTGCACCGGCAGTTATAGGGTTAATGCGGGAGAGACGAGCGAGTGCGTCTGTGATACAGCTGTTCTGCGTTCTGATTAAAAGTTAAGACAGAGCGTCTTTTGTCTGTCGTTCTTCAAACATTACAGTAGACATATTTTTGGTTTACAATCTGTATCGTTTCATCAGTTAGTCACGTTAGCACTCGGCTAACGTATCCACTATTATTGTTTTAAGTGTTTAACGTTACAGTTTAGCAGCTAAACTTTAGCTGTGGGCACGATTCACTTGCATAAGTGTTTTTGTATTTTATGCCATTATTATAAGAACGGATTGGAGCACTATATTATTGTTTTATGCAAAGGTGCTCGCTAACTTGCTCAAGGACTCCTCTCTGTGCCAATCACAACAGGCTTGGCCAGCTGACCAATCAGAGCAGAGTAGGCTTATGGAAGGGAGGGGTTTGCTCCGAACTTGCTTGGAACGAATCGTTTCAAAATCATTGGCAAATGACTCTAATATTAAATGTATATTCTGAGAAAATTACAATGTTTTCTGGCCTTAGATGCATTTATACCTGTTGTAGAGGACTCCGACACAATATTAGGACACTCTAAAATACCATATGACCTGCTCTTTAAGGCTTGTTTTTTTTGTGTGCTCACTTTCAGATTTAAATAGTAACGTGGGCCTTGATTGTCTGCCTGCATGCCTGATCATTCCTTGCTAATGATGCCACCACCCAAAGGCATGCGGCAGAATGGCAAAGATGACTGCAGCCCCTGAACTTGTGTTTGTGATGTGATGTTCTGTCATATTAATCATTCTGTCAGACAATGAGAGCTAGGCGCCGATGGGGTAAAAAGGAGACATGGCCCTCTGAAGCAGAGAGATTTAGTAGAGTAAAAAGAAAAGAGGGACTGTGTGCTAGGCGCTTGTTATCATCTATCCAAACTCTGACGTGCACCACACTGACACTGCCGCATTCTTCAGGGGCACACGCGTGTTCTCTTTTGGATGGTTTTAAGTGGGAACTGCACAAGGTGAGGATAGTGCAAGAGCAGCGCATTTAGAAGCTTATTCATCACATTTGTGCTCCATGTCAGAAAGCCGTCTGCCCCAGAGAGCACAGGAGCATATGGATTTGGAGGTGTTATGCTTCAAATGAATTGGGCTCTTTGTTTAACTGTAATAGTGAGCCAATAAGTGTGTTTACATGTACAAAATACTAATAACTATGAAAAAAGAAGCTTGATAATTCAAATCGTTGTTACATAATGTTTAGAACTTTACTCTCACGTTTGATCAATTTAATGCATCCTTGCTGAATAAAAGTATTAATTATATATATATTTATTATTATTATTTTATCTTACCCCAAAATTTTGAATGGTAGGGTATTACACAAATACACAGTTTCCACAAAAATCGGCACAACTGTTTTAAACATTGACAATAATAAGAAATGTTCCTTGAGCATCAAATCAGCATATTGGAATGATTTCTGAATGATCACGAATTATCTTTGTCATCACAGGAATAAATTAGATTTGAATATATACAGTATTACAATAGAAAACAGTTATTTTGAGTTGTAATAATATTTCACAATATTACTGGTTTTACTGTATTTTTGGTCAAATAAATGCAGCCTTGGTGAGCATAAGAGACTTCTTTAAAAACATTAAAAATGTAAATTATTCCGAACTTTTCACTGTTTTCGGGATTTTTTAATTTTTTTAATAATTTATTATTATTATTAGTATTTTTTTTTTTGTAACAATGTAAAAGTCATTATTGTTCCTTTTTCCACTTTTGATCAATTTAATGCATCCTTGCTGGGAAAAAAATTGATATGGAATAAAAATTAAAATATTGATTAAGACATTAGGCTAGTATACATATTAGCATAATGCTAATAGATTAGTATGAGAACTTTTTTTTTTTTGAATACCATGCCTGCCTCATGAAAAAGGCAAAAACGTGTGCCAATTGGGTTTTGCTTTAACCATGTAAGTCTTTGATAAAAGAACAGTTTAAGATGTTTATATGACCTTACACATTGTCTGGTTATTGAGCGTATCAGCATGTACTTGTAAACACACTCAGTGTCTGTCTTTCTCATTAAGAGTCTGAGAATGTCCCGCTCATTAAGACAAAATGCTTTGAGCTGATGATGTAGTACTTTTGTCTCTAGCACCTGTGCTCTGTTTATAATGGGATTCCTCCTATCAACAGCTTACAGATATTATGAATTCATTATTTCTGCAAATCAATCATTGGTATGTTAGCGCTGGTCTAAAGTGATTCAGCGAAGCAAATCCATGATAATATCAAGAGGAATTAATTTTTTACAGACAGAACAGAATGGCTTTATTTTTAAAGAAGTGTCAGATCAAGTTTAGAAAGCAATATGCACTAATGCCCAACCAGCATGTTGCAGACCGGATATGCTTTGAATTTGTGCGATCAACCAGATGTGCCATATATTAAGGTGGGGTTAAATTGAAACATGGCTGTGTATTCCCTAGATGGCAAGGCATGGCTGACAGTTGCTGTAGGAGACGAGATGATTGATTACACAGCCCGCTCAACATATGGCAATATGTGAGATTTTAGCTCACAGCGTAACCGTAGGTAAAAAAAAAAAGCGATAGCTCATATGTTAAAGAGAGTTGGGATGATAAATGAAAAATGCCGCAATGGATTTCATTCACACAAATCTGCTGACCTACTCTGTGTCTTCTATTAATAATAATCCTCTATGGTAATACTTTTCTATGAAACACTGTTATCTTCTTACACAACAAATTTCATTTGTGTGATTTATTCTCAATATGTAGAAATGTATCAGAAATCCTGTATTATTATTTTAGTTTCAAGTCAATGCATTCATTTTCAGGACTCATTTTGGAATTGACAAAAAAACTGTTTTTGTGTCTCATTTCATTTTGTGTAATCCTAATACTGTGATTTTGGAGCAACAGTAGATCAGGGTGCATTTTGCAGCGATGCAGTCATGCGCTCATGAAGAGCAGAGAATGCACCCAATTGAACAAGGTTAGGATTAGCAAACACTATTCCAAAAATCATTTCATACTGGGATTGTCAGTGTATTAAGAGATCCACATTTACTCTGCATCAACTGTCAACACAGCTGTCACGAATTCGGTCCATGGACTTCCGTTTATTCACCACCAGAGGTCACCCTTTCCATTACATTGACTCTCGCACAACACAAACTGTTGCATAGCACCCCGGACTACATATCCCATCATTCTTTGCACGATTTGCACACTGCACTGATTGCACTCATTGCACACAGCTGTTTCTAATCACCTCACTCACTATATAACACCCACTCTAACCACCTTTCTCTGCTGAGTAATGTTTAGCCCGTACCCCATTCCGAGTCTCTGAGTTTTCCTTGTTTTTGCCTTGCCTTGCCTGTTTTCGCGGTTTCTGATCTTTGCCTGTTTTTCTGGATTTTTCCCTCTCGTCTCGCCCCTGTGATTCTGTCTGCCGATCGGTGACCTACGCTAGCCCTGGGACTATTCTTGTGTTTTGCCCGCCATATACCTGTTTGCCATTGTTTGACCCTGCCTGTTTACCACTTCTCTTTAATAAAGCCTGCAGATGGATCCACGCGTCTCACGTCTCGTCAGCCCCGTTATAACAGCACAAAGCAGAACCCGTTAGTTTCATTAACTTACATTTATTTTTAAAGACCCAGTGTAATCATAATTAAAGTTTGGTGGCTTATAGTCCACGTGTGTTACCTTTGAGATTATCTATATGCTAACACGCTCTTAAAAGTACAGAAAATTAAATTAATGAAGTAATATAAAATTTACAATCTTTCTCTTCCAGGAAAATGGGCAAAAAATATTGATGAATAGTTTAAATAAAACAAAATTTACTGGAGTACATTTTACAAGAAAATACTATTTCAGTTTCTCTACTTACATTTTCATGCTTAATTATGTTACTTGCTATTTCTTTGTAATTAATTGAAAATTAATTGAATTAAATTGAAATTTTCTGATCCTCTGTTTATTTTAGGTATGGTAAACTACAGTGAGGTCACCGGTTACCCATTGGTTCAGCACTGGAAGCTGCGGTCCATTATGTACCATGTAAAGCTCAATCAGTGGACCCTCTCCCAAGGTAAAACACTCTCACTTTTCTTCCGTTTACATGGATGTATGAATTGATCAAGTATTTACAACAAATATGTATCAGCAAGAGTACAGCATATACGGTGGTTAGGAAGAACATGTTTCTGGCTAGCAGTACCTTATTTGATCTGAGTGACTGGAATGAGCTCACTGAGGAGCCCACACTGTGACAGTCAGTTGTGCTGGGTGGGTAGTGAAGCAAAAACTTAATACCAACAAATATGGCTGCCTGATGTGAAGGAGGCAGTTCTCAGTTCTTTGTTGATCTCAGATGGCGAGTGTTTAAAACTGGGGGATTTAAAGGTGAAGTTTATACCTTTTTGTACTATCCCAGCTTAATATTCAGAGAAAACTATAACTAAGCCAACTGTCGGTTGATTTCTTTGTAAACGCAGCGGTGCTATCAAAACATTACTTTGTTTAATAAGCATCCTGACAGTGACATTGACTCAACCAATGGTGTGAATATGGGGACAGGGCTATCTGTTTGGGCAACTACCGTTTTTTTTTTATTTTTTTTATTCTGTTTAATGACACTAGTGGTCCAAAAATGACACACTTCATCTTCAAGGAAGACAAAAGACAACTTTTAAAGAGGTAGAACATCATGTTGTCACTTTATTTATTTTTGCCCACGCATTTGGACTGTGAGCACATTCATTTAATTTGTTTAATGAACGCTATATATTCAATGAGCAGATCTTAGATACCAAGTGCAGTTCTATAAGAAATACTTTCTATTAAAGGCCTGAATGACCTTTAAAATTAGATTTTCTTGCTCTCATATTGCTCAGACCAGTTCCCTCTCTTCTCAACCCATTACCATTAAATGATTTATTTTCCATATGACTTAAAAGTCGAGTTTTTACATTTTCAATTCTGATTTTTACCACTTTTTCCCCATGCCGTTTCTGCATCTACTCACTGGAGGTCAATTTGCAAACCCGTGCATGAAGGAAGTGGAATAATGCAAAATTTATTTTTATTTATTTATTTTTTTCCTGTTTGTGCGAGTTATAAAAACGTTGTTTTGAAATATGGTACCATTCCTCTGATCATGTACCCACATGAAATGGTTTTATTAAATTAACAATGTTTTGTTAACATGCAAACAAATTGAGTTCTGTTGTCTGACAAAAGTTTCAGAGGTCTACAGTGCTTGCAGACAAGTACTTTATATTCTAAAGTACTGCAGGGAAATGTAAATTCTGTGACTAAAAGTTTACATTTAAGTTTTATGATGAATATTCTGTTTGAAAAAAAAAGTTTTTAAAAGGTCAGACATCAGCCTACACAAAAGCAGTCAATACCTCTGTGAGGCCTTGTTGTTTATCCTTCCTTTGTTTCCCCAGATAACAGTTCACACAGAGCACTGACAAATTGTCACAAAGCAAGGCCAGACACAACAGGTAAGTGCAAAACAGGATGGTTTATTGACTGGGTAAGTGGATGACTGGATAAGTGAGTTAAAGGCAGGTGAATGTCAACACAGTGAATGGTTCCAGGGTGCTTATCTGAGTTCTGATGGAGAGGATCGTATGCCGGTTACGTTGGAGATCGTGGAGCCGTTTCCAAGGAGTCGTTGGAGGATCGTGGGAGGAACAGCAGGTAATTCGTTCTAGGAGAATTTGGCAGAGAGAGTCCAGAGTAGTTCGTAGGAGTGAACGGTAGACCGGACAGTGAGTGACTGTGCTGTGTGTGTATTTGTAGTGTGGCTTGATTGGTGACAGCAGGTGCGGGTGATCAGAACTCAGGTGACTGTGATGGGGTAATTATCCTGGATGGTGACTGAAGTGACTGTGATGAATCCCTGATACAAATCATGTTTTCGCTCTTTCTCTTCCCACATTCTTTGCTTTGTCATGTGCACTGCAGTATGTGGAACTGTATTGAAAATGGACAGTAAAGACAGTAATAAATCTTTGACAATAAAGTTTTGAATCCTTCATGCGTATTGTAGCTGCACTGAAAATCAGCATGTAATAATAAAGCTTTGTAATTCTCACAGCTCAACATCGTTAGAATTTTTCTCTTTTGTTTGATCTATAATGCAGCTTCTGCTTTTAATTGAGATGAAATTGAAGTTTTAAGTGAAATTGAATTTTAAATTTGATGCGATACTCTAAAACCTCTCACACATCTAAATAACTCCTTCCTTTACCTTTGTTCTTCAGCCTTCAGTTCAGCAATTCATTCACTGGATGGGGCCACCCTGCGCAGCGACTTTGTGTCCATTTTAAAAGAGTTTGGCAACCATTTTATCCAGGAGGCAGTGTATGGCTTTGAGGAATCCTGTACCATATGGTATCCCAACAAGCAAGTCCAACGCCAGCTGTGGTTGGAGTATCAAGACATCAGCAAAGGTAAGCTGTATAAATATATTAATTTAAAAGATTTAATTTGCTGGTTTAGATCATAATATATTGGATCTCATTCACTAAAAAGCACATAAAAGTTGCATACTATGCACAGATATATGTTTGTTTGTTTGTTTTGTAAATAGTAAGACTTATTTTACAATTGCTTATTTAATTTATAATAATAATATTAATAATAATCTGACTTGTGCAAAGGATGACTTGTGCAAAGACTTGTGCTTGTTTATGCAATAATACTACTACTAATAATAGTAGTAGTAGAAATAAAAAATTAACCCTACAATATTTATTAAATATTTTTTGACTATTATTTGAGTTGTAAGTATTATCCTAAAGATAGAACAGATGTGTTACCTTATTGATAAATTGTGTTTTCTGTATGAAGACACATTGGTTTTACCCATGGTTAGTAAATGAGGACCATTGTTTTTATGCTTTAGGATGCACCGTTTTATTTTATTTTAAGAGAATATAAACCTTTCAATTTTATGAGGAGATAAACAGAGCAAAACTATTTTACCTGTCCATAAATTATGCAAAAGCTTTGTAAACGTTGTAATATTTATACCTGGCTAAATAAATAATAATAAGGCAGCAATTTTAAAAATAAACCATTGTCTAGATATGCACATAGAAGTTTGACCCGTTGCACCCAAAGTTTGGTTTTGTCATAATATAAAGTCCATTTTGGAAAGGATGTGGACAGGAGCTGAGGAAGTAAAACTCAACACAGCCCTTGGGAGGTTGGTCACATCTGCTCAACCAATAAAAGGGGGCAAGGGCCGATGTGAGATGGCTGGCTGGCTAAAGCTGAATGCAAGCCAGCGTTGCTCCGTACTCAGAAGGCCCCTGGGCAGGCTCACCTAGTTTTTATGCTTCAGCTCCACTCAGCTGAGCCCATATATATGTGCAAGGTCAGTTAGGACGGAACTCATTTGGAAAAACAACAGAAGTGTGACGTTAACAGATAAAGAACCACCAGAGATGGGCTAGACAGTCTATAGATTGATTCAGCCAAGGATGGTTTGGGTTTCTATGCTTATGGGTAATCTATCAACAATGCGCCCTTGAGCATTCATGAAATAGCAGTGCTGTGAACATGAAAAAGTGCATTGTGATCCACACAGGCTTTTCTTCGAGAAATAGGCACCAAGGTCATCTGACAAGGCATAGAGGTCTTAGAGTGTACTCTTCTATTTGAAATGAAAACGTCTCATGTTACGCATGTAACCATGGTTCCCTGAGAATAGGGAACGAGACTCTGTGTCCTCTAGAGGGCACTATGGGGAATGCCTCTGGCATAACGGTGTATGAAGCATGAGTCTAAACATGACAATGAACTTGACATTGGCAGGCAGCAGCCTATGACATCACAACTGGTGTGGCCAAGAGTATAAAAGGGCACATGTGAAATACATCATCCACTTCTTGTCTGAAGGAGACGTATGCAGAAATGCCTGAAGCATGGCAAAGGGACGCAGCGTCTCATTCCCTATTCTCAGGGAACCATGGTTACATGCGTAACCTGAGACGTTCCTTTTCGAAAGGGAACTTGCGCTGCTTCCCCTAGAGGGCGCTATGGGGAACTTTATACCCACACCGCCATGCTGAAAGGAATGAGTGCCTTATTGGCTGAGCTAAGTCAAAGACTCAAAGGGGTCATTACCCCTGCACCAGCAATGCGATCATAGACTGGAGCTTCTCAAGAACGGAGGCCTCAGCAGGTGGAGAGGAAGCCTAACTACATTCTTATTCAGGGCAGCGTCCAAGGAGGCTCACAGAGAGCCTAACACTTAGAGCTAACTGGCCCGCGAAGCTCTGCAGAATGGAGGGCTAAATACATGAGATTAGAGGTCTGCATTCCCGACCAGATTTTTTTACAGAATAAAATGCGGTAGCGATCGGTAACTCGGTGTAATTTGAATGGGAGCAGGTGGTCTAACAGTATCGCGTTCCCGACATCAATTCAGAACAGCATATCTGTGCTTTAGCTGTGGGTGCTCTGCAGTTTGATAATCCAACACTCAGTCATTTGTGGAAGTGGCTTTTGTTGGGCTATGAAAATCTATATCTGAGGTGTCTGTGAGTACACCATGTTCTGCTAAAAGCGTTTCGTGCTAATGGCCATGTCGCAGCAGTAATAATCCTGCTGAAAAGACCAACATATGTAATCAAATTTGTCAGGTCAAACAATCACCGAGAAGAAGAGATTTTTCAATAAATTCTTCCAAAACCAAATTATGTGAAATGTGCAATACACATTCATTAAATTGTTTGTTTATTTTAGGGCTGTCAAAAATAACTTGTTTATTTCTGAGATTA